GTAGCTTGTGTGACTGCACGACTTGTACCGAGAACCCCGCGTGTTCTTTAAATGTGCTAGGTGGCCTCGCCTTTGATTTGGCTTTTAAGATAAAAGCCTTAGACAGAAACTCTGCAGGAATGCTGTACTTCTGCAGTTGTGTAAAATTGGTTATAAGCAGCTGACATTACAAAAGTAGACTGAGACCATTTACTTCAGATTTAAAAAAAAAATTTGTAATTACTAAAAATAAAATAAAATAGTTATTTCTGTTCCTGTTTATTTAAATATTATCTAAATTATAAGAATAATAAGATTATATTTATCTTATTAAACATCAAGTCATTCTTGTTTCTGGAACAATGTAAATTAAGCTAATTTTGTCATCCATAAAAACAGCTGTTAAAATCCTTGCGTTAGTTATAAAGCAATAGCTACAAAAACAAAATAATTATATTAATTACGTGAGAAATTAATAAAATTGTGATCTATAATCTGTCTCTATTCTTTTGGTAGTAAAATAAAAGCTAAACTAAAGATAATTAATCAATATGCGCATTTAAAGATTTACTCTTGTTAACCTAAAATGTGACTTTGCTTCAGTGTTTAAAAAAGGATAAAACACACCTATGGACACAAGAAGACAACTGACTGTAGTGCAATAAAAAACATAAAGCCGACTTCAACAATATATCGATATTAGTGTGACTCAAACATGTTGAATCGTTTTAATGTGGAATTCCATTTAAACGTCAAGGTGACAAGAAGCGCGCGCATTTCTGCACACGCACATCCGTTACAGATAAGGTCGTGCAGCGTAACAGCCAGTGCAAATTCTTCCCTCATCACTAGGAAAACACAGTTATCTCAGCTGAAGAGCTTCATGTACTGCTGTGCTTACTGTCGATGCTAACCTGGACTAGCCTGCTCCTGCGTGGCTTTCCTCAGGATCTCCGTCTGCTTGGAGCTCAGCGCACGGAGGCGTCCCAGCTCCTCCGTTAACTCCGTGTATGCCAGAGCCAAATTCACCCTGAAGGAGAAAGCGAGGCAATGTGTCATTATCGCCATCGTTTTTAATCATAGAGGATCACAATGTTAACAGAAGGTGTTACGACTCGATTGCACACACATAGTAATTTCTGTCAAATCTCTGTCGAATATACACCACTGATCTTAATTACTTTGAACCATTTTTTAATGAATGCATGCGACTTCAATACAAACGCATCTCCTCTTTAAACTCAATGAATCCTGCAGCTCTGACCTGGACCTGCAAATTAGGAATTGACAGGCCTAAATTCTTGGATCTCATGTCATGGTGTATAATTGAAGTGCATAAAATCACACCATTTCAAGATGTGTCATGGCTCTGAGAGGCCATACTGACTACAGCATCTCTATTTCAAGAAGCGTAAACAAGGCTGTGTGTCTTTAAACCCTAGCAACAAGATGACTTTGTCTTTTTTGTTAGTATAAAAACTGATCTGAACCCTGCAATATCAATTCATGTGAGGCCATTTAGTATTAAGCAAGTGGATATGAGAAATAATCACTTTACAGACTGTAAGCATTTATCTGACAGTTTAGATGCCATGATATAAGCAGTTTTGTTCAACAAAAATGTAGCAACTTTAGTAGTTAGTCACTACCAATAGCCCCAGATCTGATAAGGCTGTTTATCTCACCAACTTTTATAAACTCTACAGTCTTGATCTGAAATTGACTCATTTCTTCATGTTTATTGCAAGACAGAAACCTTAATCTAACGTGAAATCCACCAAGATAATCTATTTAATCTACTAATTTGAGTAATTTCTTATATGAAGACTTGCATTTAGAGGAAATCG